TACTTCCTCAGCAACTCACTAAGAGTACTAAAAGAGGGAGAAGGGAGGAGGAGCGGTGGGAGACAGAGAGAGGAAGAAAAAAAAAAAGAAAAAGAGGGGGATAGTGGATGGGGGGCAGAACAAAATTTACTGCCCCCCTTCTCTCCACTCACCCTAAGATCTCTCCAGCACCCATCCCCCCATCCCAAACTCCATCTATTCTTTCTTTTTACAAACTGGCTGCTACTTCTCTTTTTTCAACATTACACTTTTATTTAGCCCCTCTGACCATCCCTCATCGTCCACATTCTTCAGTTGCAGTTTTTTCACAAAAGTCACTGAGTTCTTCTGGAAATCTTAACCTTGCCGACTTCCCATCCTTCCATCCAATCAGACATGCCAGGAACCCCCAGTTGTGTCACACTATTTTCTCCCGCATCTGATCCAATAAAGGTTTCAGCAATCTTCTTTTCCCTAGTGTCGCGGATGCAATGTCCACAAAAACCTGCAAGTTCGATTCTCCGAATCTTATTTCAGGGTTCTCCCACAATTTTTTCCATATTCTCTCCCTATCCTCATAATGGTGAAAATGGACAATCATGTCTCTAGGGATGTCTGATGCTAATCCTGGCGGGCGTCTTAGCCCGTTAATTCTCTCTCAATTTTCAAAGGATCTAAGACTGACCTGTCCATTAAAGTTAAGTTAGAGTTAAACACTCTCCTTATTTTTTCCCTAATGTCCTCCTCATGCAAATCTTCTGGTAATCCTCGGACCCTTAGATTATTTCTTCTCTCTCTGTTCTCTTGATCCTCCAGTTTAAAAGAGAACTTCCTCTGTTCCCTTCTCATCTCCTCTGCTACTTCTACAGATTAATGATCTGCTGGGCTTGTATCTCTGTTTTTCTCCGCCACTTCTTCTACCCTTGTTAACATTAATCCCAGATCCTTGTGAAATATCACCATTTCATTTTTCATGGAAAACCCTAACTTTGCGAACATTTCCGTCATCTCTGTTCTTGTAGGAATTTGTGATATTGTTCTCTGTTGTTCCAAAACTTTTTGATCGATTACATTTTCGACAATTATAGATTCGTTGATCTCATTCCCCTCCCTTACTCCAATTGATAATTTAGACTGCTCACCTTCATATTTCCTACTTCCTTCCTGTAGTTTCTCCATGCCTTCTATCTCTTGGCTTTTTTCTTGCAATGGCATATATTTCTTTATTGTACTAGTATTTGCATTGAGTTGCAGGGGTTTTACTCACCCCCCTTTAGCGGATCTGTTCTTCATATTGACTCACCGTAGATTTTAACTCAAAAGTTCAAAATACAGTATTGTCAGATCTGAGACAGGGAGAAAGAAAAAGTCCCTCTTTTCCACTCCTCTCAAGAAACTTGTACAGTCCTAGGACACTTTAAATATATTTATGTTCTTTACATCGATGTTTGGCCTCTGTGCTCCTCACATTCCTTGGTCTTCTGACCACCCAGCTCCACGTCTCAGATATACCTTTACAAATACAAATAACAAAGATAGTAGAAGTTTACATCATCCTTGGCAACTCACCCTCACCCTCCAAGGTTCCGATTTCCTCTGCCTCTATGTACCTCTCCTGTCCTGCTGTGAGACTCCTGTCCCGAATCGTATCCTGAGTGGGGACTGGGCTGTTATTAGCAGTGCCTCATCCTCGGATGTCTTCGGGTCTCTTGGGCTCCCAGACTATCAGCCTATCTCTGGACGGGTGGAGCGTCTAGTCGCTAGCTGGCACAGCCCCGTGGGTGCAGGCACCCCCGGGGTCCTTCAGGCACCTCCGCCTTCTACTTTTCTTCAGGGTCCTCTCCCAGAAGCATCTCTGTAGGCGAGCACCATACCTGCCAGGAGCCGGGATCTCAGCCCCACACTGCTGAAGCGCCGCCCTGCTCGCTGGGCTCACACCACCGCCGGTCGCTACGTGGTCCTTGCCAGTCCTGCCAGCTCTTCCCAGACCCCTGACCAGAGCCACCGTCCAGCGCAGGTAAGCTCACTGGGGTACCATCAAGGAGAGTCTGGCACAGGTCTAATCTGCATGGCGGGTGTTAGGAGCTCCTGTGCTCAACAGCCTCCCGGCCCCATGTTCAGGCCCTTACCCCACAAAGTAACACTTCTATTAAACATGTGACAGCAGCAGAAAATAAATACCAACAACACAGACTAGCTTTTCCATGCAATACCGTCTTATTAAAGTGTGGCCCTTCTACATAGCAAATATAATTTCAACTGCTGGGAGTACTTGGAGAAATTTGTACTTTCCTGTACATTCTTTTAGCTTCCTATGTGGTCACAAGACCAGTAAACCCCCTTACATTTACCCAGTGAAGTGGCTGGCCTCAGAAGATACAGAGATGAAACATATCCACCAACATAAGTTGTACTTGTTTATCTGCAGTCTTCTCTTACATAGTTACATACAGTAGTTTGTAAGAATGAATAAAGACACCAGTCCACCTAGTTCAATGCGTGTGCGTGTGTGCGCTCATGTTAAAAATCATATCCCATATCCTTGTATATTGTGCTCGCTAAGATGCCCATCTAAGAGGTTTTTTTTTTTATTTTTAAACTATCAATACTTCCCATTGACCCTACTGATGGTGGAAGTGAGTTCCACATCATTACTGCATTGATAGTGACCCCCCTCCCCCCACGTAGTTTAAAGTGGTTGTAAAGGCTCAAGGTTTTTTTACCTTCATGCATTCTGTGCATGAAGGTAAAAAACATTCTCTGTGCAGCATCCTCCCCAGACCCCTCTAATACTCACCTAAGCCCCCTCTCAATCTAGCGATGTGCACTGGAGTCTTGGCTGTCCAGGAACTCCCTCTCCTTATTGGCTGAGATAGCCAGTGAGACAATGGGAAGAGAGAGGGAGTGGGGCGCTGTCGTGGCTCCATGTGTGAATGGATACACGGAGCAGTGGGTGCCCCCATAGCAAGCTGCTTGATGTGGGGTCACCCGACAGAGAGGAGGAGCCAGGAGAGTCTGCGGGAGACCCGAGAAGAGGAGGATCCCATCTGCTCTGTGCCAAACCAATACACACGGCAGATAAGTATAGACATGTTTGTTATTTAAAAAATAAAAAAATTTAGAATCACTTTAGGGTTAAACTGCTACTCCTCCACTTTCATTGATTGACCCTGTGTCTTCTTATACTCCCTGAGACTGAATTGTCTATTCCCTATGCTAGAATCACCACTGAGGTACCTGTATTTCGCTATCATATCTCCTCTCAAGCGTCTCTTCTCCAGGAAGAATACGTTTAATGTTTGTATGTTTGTAGTCCTTCCTCGTAACTGAGGCCTTCCATTCCCCTTGTTAACTTTGTTGCCCTTTTCTGGACTCTCTCCAGCTCCAGCACATCCTTCCTGTCAGGGCCTGGACTTGAACCTGGGACTTCTACTGTGTCAGGCAGTAACTCTACTCACTGAGCTACCTGGGATGCTGGACAACACTTTGCCTCATCTATTGGATAATCCTGCCTTGTGCCTTGTTTGCTTTTGAACCTTGAACTCCTTGCTCCTCCCATGAACTTCCTATATAAGCCATGTCCTTGGACTTCCTCCTTGCCAGATTATTGTGCCTTTCCAGCCAATATCCTGCTACTGTTCCTGCTGCTGTCTACACCTCCGCTACTGACCTTTGGCTTGTTCCTGACCACGATTGATCTGCTACCATTTGTGACCGACCCTTGGCTTGTGACCGACTCTGCTTTCGTCTGATCCCTAACCTGTTGATCCGCTATTGGTTCCCAGTCTGCTCATTCCCTGGTGGGGTGATCCTGAGATCTGCGACCTGGTATTAACACGCAGCAGCCCCAATCCATCTCCACCATTAGGAGCTCTGGTGAATACCGGTTAATACTTAGACCCCGCACCTCAGGTGAGCCTGCGTCATTCCCAGGGGGATCCGCTGGTGTACCTATCCTGCTGGTTCCAGGTAAGCCTTTTTCTGCTATAGCAACTGGTCTCTGAACCTGACCTTACACCGTGACACTTCCTGAGGACTGGTGACCAGAACTGGACAACATACTGCTGATGTGGCCGAACCAGAGTTTTTTTTAGAGTGGTAGGATTATAGTTTTGCCTTTTGAGTAGATACCTTTTTTATTGCATGCTAATATTCTGCTAGCGTTACTTGCGGCAGCTTGGCATTGCATGCCGTTGCTGAGTTTGTCATCTACTAGGACCCCCAGATCTTTTTCCATCCTGGATTCCCTCAAAGGTTCTCCCCCTAGTGAGTAACTTGTGTTCAAATGTTTAGCCCCCAAGTTCATTACTTTACATTTTTCTCTCCTCTACATCTATTGAAAGTCCAGAATTTAAAAAGCTTGTCTGAGCCTTCAGAAAACAGGGAGCTGAGAGCTGAAATAACACACTGCAGAGCTCAGTGAGTAAAGTTCTGAGGGCTGATTGGAAGGAAGGGACAACCCCCACCCCCTTTACACAGCACACAGGAAGAGAGCGGAGGGTGTCAATCACAGGCTGTGTGCTGGGGCTCCCTCCTTCACCTTTTTTCTCTTGGTGTCAGGACAATTTGCCAGATGCGATTCATACTGATATCAGAGGAACGAAGCAGCAGAGAGAAATGACCCTTAATGCTCTTAATTGAAACAAGTGTACACTATAGAGTGATATGCTTTGTCCATATTTCATGTCTCGGTTTACAACCACTTTATCTATCTGTGGTTCATTTGGTTATCACTTGAGATTAGTGTATAAAATTAAACAATCTTTCTCTGTTGTATCTTTTCAGACTGATGATGTTTCAGAGCAACAACAACCCTGAATGTGGCAGCAAGGCAGAGCTTAACATCACCAGTAGCCTTCCATACGAAGCCGAAGTGAAATGCAGTAGTCATAAGATCGATTGCATCATCTGTTTCTCCAACTACAACCTCACCAACAGGCTTCCCAGGCGGCTTTACTGCGGTCACACACCTTCTGCCAGGCCTGCATCCGTCGCCTCGATTCCGTGACCAACGAGCAAAGATGGATCCCCTGCCCTCAGTGCCGCCAAAACACGCCAACACCTCGTGGTGGAGTGGCCATGCTAGACCTGGACCTAACTGCCTTTTTAGCAGTGAAGTCTGAGAAGGATAGCCCACGGTCGGCTAGCAAGACTTTGGACGCAGATTCAGAACTCAAAGTTTTTGCAAAGAACGTTCCGATCAGCAGGCAGCCCACGGGCAGCTGCCAAGAGTCTGTCTCCGAGCCACGATTTCCCAGGAGGATATGCTGTAAAAAATTGGTTCTGCTGTTCCTGCTGTTCCTGTGTGTGAGAGATCCAGACTACAGCGCAGGCCAAACCCATTGGAAGAAGCAGAAATGGGATATTGACCATCATGAGCATAATCGACACACAAAGTGCAATAGCTAACATCAACCAATCAAAATTCTCTTTATACAAGCTGCAGTAGTAGAAGATATATTCTGATTAGTTGGTCCAGGTTCTGCTCTTTTACCATTGCACTTTTATTGAAAAGGCCCAAACAGGGAACATGTATATATGTATTTTAAACTGCACTAAATTTTATTTATATTCGGTTTTGATCATCAATATACTTACCTTTCTATCTGGGTATGGAGAGCACTCGACTCATTACCTTTCTTTCGCAAATGGCCACTTGGCACAAATTCACTTTAGAGTCCAGAATTGGGCTCAGCCCCCAAATCCCTACCCCCCCCCCCCCCCCCACCCACCTTCTTTTCCTTTTCCACTTCCTTGTACATTTTTTAATATACTTTGCTTTCACACATGTTTATAGCCTGGTCCTCTTTCTCTTTGACCAATGTTGCGTGGCCCTCATGGGCGGCCATACATGCAAATGAGCCCTTGGTCTTCCAGGCTGAACGAGACTGGGCATCAGTCAAACTGGAAGTCTAAGGAGATCTTAGGGAAAAAAATGGTATTACCGCTTGCAATAAGTTTTGCATCCTCTTCTGCTCTCTACTTCAAGCAACTGTGGGGGGGGGGGGGGCTTTTTTACTTTAAACCATTTTTTTTTTCCGGAGTTATGCTTTTAGCAGTTTTTTTTAGAGGAGGTATGGACAATATAGAGGAGTATTAAAGGTGGTGTCACACTTATTGGGGTACAGCCACTATACAGTGTGGGGGACTCTTGGGGTACAGCCACTATACCGTACGTGTGGGGGACTCTGATAAACACAAGTCCTGGCTTAAAAAGAAACATTTACAGAAGCGTCCTATACAACTACTAAAAAATAACCTTCTCCCACTTTTTTTTGGCTGGTGTCTGTTACAAACTGAAATATAAAAAAACTGTATATATGAGAACATAAGTATTGATAAGATTCAGACATGATCATTTGAATTAGAATTTACTTTTTCTATTATAAATGTTATCAATTTACATTTTTATACTGTGCAAAAATATTGTTCAGATTCTTAGCAGATGTAATTATGTCATTTTCTGTGAAAAAAAAACCATTTGTTAAAGTATCTAAAAGAAGAGTGTTCTGGCCAGTAAGTCTGTTATTTTTTTTAACTTCTATTAACAGACAACGCTATCCAGCAAAAGTGGCAGTTAGAGGGCTGAGTCAAACCATTTACCACTGATAGGGGTGCTTACAATGGTTAGATTTTATTCATTTATGTCAAATACCATCCAGGCTGAATATGCTGTGCATGTGTAATAACAGAAAAGGCGCAAACACCTAGTGCATTATCTTTAGCACTTTATTAGGTAAAGCAAATAAAAATATACTCACAAGCAGGGGCGGACTGACAACTCATGGGGCCCCTGGGCAATAGGGGATCATGGGGCCCCTGTGTTCTTGCCCAAACTCAAAAAAGCCTATGAAAAAGGTACCAGGGGCATCTCATGGGGCCCCCTACTGACCCCGGGCCCTCTGGCAGTGCCCGAGTTTCCAAATGATCAGCCCGCCCTGCTCACAAGCCCGATAGGCTGAAAGCATGTAAACAAGGCACGGTATACAGATGTCTGCTATCCAGCTCCAACCAGAAAATGGGTGACTAAGCCAGTTGATGTGTTTCGGGGAACTTGCCCCTTTCCTCAGAGCAAGTTCCCCAAAACGCGTCAGCAAGCTCAGTCACCCATTTAGAAGTTGGAGCTGGATAGCGGACATCTGTATACTGTGCCTTGTGTGTTTACATGCTTTCAGCCTATCAGGCTTCTGAGTATATTTTTATTTACTTCACCTAATAAAGTGCTGAAGATAATGCAATAGGTGTTTGCACCCTTTCTGTTTGAGTTCTTTAGCACTGAATTTCCCCAGTTTGAGGAGGGCTGCACCGGATACCCTTCCAGTTTGGGTTGCATGATTCTGGCATACTCTACAGCAGGGGGTCTCCAAACTGTGGCCCATGGGCTGGATGTGGCCCTTTGCTTTCTTTTATCGGGCCCTTGGGGCATTATTCCTTCCACCGATACGAGGCATCATTCTTTCCACTGACACCAATGATGGGGCACTATTCCTCCAAATGACACCAATGATGAGGCACTATTCCTCCTAATAATACCAATGAAGGGGTGCTGTTCCTCCCACTGATATCAATGATTGGAGACTATTCCTCCCAATGGTGTCAGTGATGGGACACTATTCCTCCTAATAATACCAATGATGGGGCACTATTCCTCCCTCTAATACCAATGAAGGGGCACTATTCCTCCCTCTAATACAATGATGGGGCACTATTCCTCCCAATGGTGCAAGTGATGGGGCACTATTCCTCCTAATGATACCAATGATGGGACACTGTTCCTCCCACTGATACCAATGATGGGGCACTATTCCGCAACACTGTTAGAAATGATGGGGCACTATTCCTCCCACTGATACCAATGATGGGGCACTTTTCCTCCTAATAATACCAATGAAGGGGTGCTGTTCCTCCCACTGATATCAATGATGGGGCATTATTCATCCCAATGGTGTCAGTGATGGGACACTATTCCTTCTAATGATACCAATGATGGGGCGCTATTCCTCATAATAATACCAATGAAGAGGCACTATTTCTCCCACTGATACCAATGATGGGACACTATTCCTCCCACTGATACCAATGATGGGGCACTATTCCTCCTAATAATACCAATGAAGAGGTGCTGTTCCTCCCACTGATACCAATGATGGGACACTATTCCTCCCACTGATACCAATGATGGGACACTATTCCTCCCACTGATACCAATGATGGGACACTATTCCTCCCACTGATACCAATGATGAGGCACTATTCCTCCCACTGATACCAATGATAGGGCACTATTCCTCCTAATAATACCAATGAAGGGGTGCTGTTCCTTCCACTGATATCAATGATGGGGCACTATTCCTCCCACTGATAGCAATGACGGGGCACTGTTCCTCCTAATAATACCAATTATGGGACACTATTCCTCCCACTGATACCAATGATGGGACACTATTCCTCCCACTGATACCAATGATGGGGCACTATTCCTCCCACTGATACCAATGATGGGACACTATTCCTCCCACTGATACCAATGATGGGGCACTATTCCTCCCACTGAAACCAATGATGGGGCACTATTCCTCCTAATAATACCAATGAAGAGGTGCTGTTCCTCCCACTGATACCAATGATGGGGCACTATTCCTCTCACTGATACCAATGATGGGGCACTGTTTCTCCCACTGATACCAATGATGGGGCACTATTCCTCCCACTGATACCAATGATGGGGCACTATTCCTCCCACGGATACCAATGATGGGGCACTGTTCCTCCCACGGATACCAATGATGGGGCACTATTCCTCCCACTGATACCAATGATGGGTATTCCTCCCACTGATACCAATGATGAGGCTATTCCTCCTGATACCAATGATGGGGCACTATTCCTCCCACTGATACCAATGATGGGACACTATTCCTCCCACTGATACCAATGATGGGGCACTATTCCTCCCATTCCTGATCCCACTGATACCAATGATGGGACACTGTTCCTCCCACTGACACCAATGATGGGGCACTATTCCTCCCACTGATACCAATGATGGGACACTATTCCTCCCACTGATACCAATGATGTGGCAGTATTCCTCCTAATATACCAATGAATGGGGCACTATTCCTCCCACCTGATACCAATGATGGGGCACTATTCCTCCCACTGATACCAATGATGGGGCACTATTCCTCCTAATGACACCAATGAAGGGGCGCTATTCCTCCCACTGATACCAATGATGTGGCAGTATTCCTCCTAATAATACCAATGAATGGGCGCTATTCCTCCCACTGATACCAATGATGGGGCACTATTCCTCCCTGGTGCCAATGATGGGAGGCTACCAATGATGGGGCACTACTCCCCCCATGGTACCAATGATGAGGCACTATTCCTTCTAATGATACTAATGATGGGACACTATTCCTCCCAATGGTGCCAGTGATGGGACGCTATTCCTCCCACTGGTTCCAATGATGGGTCACTATTCCTCCTAATAATACCACTGACGGGGCACTATTCCTCCCACTAATACCAATGAAGGGGAACTATTCCTCCCACTGATGCAAATGATGGGGCACTGTTCCTCTCACTGATACCAATGATGGGAGACTATTCCTCCCACTGATGCCAATGATGGGGCACTGTTCCTCTCACTGATACCAATGATGGGAGACTATTCCTCCCACTGATACCAATGATGGGGCACTATTCCTCCCACTGATACCAATGATGGGGCACTGTTCCTCTCACTGGTGCCAATGATGGGACACTATTCCCCCCAATGGTACCAATGATGGTACACTATTTCTCCTACTGGTGCTAATGATGGTGCACTATTCCTTCCACTTTACCAATGGTGGAGCATTATTTCTTTCACTGACACCAATGATTTAATTTTGTTACTCCCATTGACTTGGTGCCTATGGCATTTTTTACTCTCACCAATTCATTTTCTACTAGCCACAGTCCGGCCCCCCTAATATGTGAAGGGCAGTGAACTGGCCCCTTGTTTTGAAAGTTTGGAGACCCCTGCTCTACAGCATAGATGTGGGCCTCCTCCTTTTTTGAGCATTGAAATGTTAAGTTCTTTGTACATCTTTAATATGTAATATGAAGACTG